CAAAACCGACATTTGTATTACAGTTGTGGGATCGCACAACGTTACACGATGTGCAGTGTGCGCATGATGTGTGCACGATGTGTGAACGATATGTGCACGAAGTGCGAACGATACAAAATTGGACGATCATTCCTTGCGCACATTTGTGTGGACGGATCGACGAGCGTTGGGCGATAACAATCGTGTTTGGTGTAAATTGAGGAATGCCTTGACCATATATACGGTTTCCTGTCTGAACATAAAATTAGATATGCTTATCTAATCAATACGCTTATCTTTCTGTCTAAACTTTCTTAAATTTAGAAATGGTGTTTTGTGGGTTTTTTAAACGACCTTATATAATCGACACGTGTTAATTTACAACACAGTCTCGGCTACACAGGTAAACATTGCCACTTTGTACCTGGACCGTAGTTTACCCCGCCCGGGGCACTTACGTAACTCGCCAAGGTGTGAAAACCAGATGAAAACGATAGACCAAAACGAATGCAAATAACAAATATAAAACGTCAAGTTGAGTTTTCATAATGGTCATACGGTATCATATATCAGCTCTATGTGTCAAGTACAGGCCAGGTAAAACTCCGGCCACTGTGTGTCAATTGTTATTTACGGTATCTGTTACCGAGGAGCCAAACCCATTCTTGACAGTCTAACGGTCACTGTATACTGTATTACACGCATTGTAAACTTGTACATGCTCTTAATTATAGCAGAGACGTTTACGTCTCTGATTATAGTGATGAGATATTAAAGTGATATATACCGTGTACATTATTGCATGCGAACATTCCGTATTTTTTCCATTCCGTAATATATATATATTGTTCCCACAACTGTAGTGTATTTTAAGGTGAAAAAAACCCTTTGGATTAAAAGATGTGTAAAAAGTATTTAACCAAGCCAAAGTGACCTTTAATAATTATTATATGAATCCCCCCCCCCCCCCCCCAACATGTTCTCATTCTCGTTATATATTCAACCTATATACGTCCATGCCTTTACTTGCTGTTAATACTGAAATACTGTAGGTAAAAATATCTAGATCAGAATCAAACTTCATCTTTTGTTAATATTTGATTACATATCGATCGAAATTTAAAGAACACGATCCTGTTTTAGTTTTTTCTCTCTTAATATTCATTTAAAAATCAGTTAATTTCTTTGATATTGGAGAAATCAGTTTTTTTCAGAATTTTCAGGATTTTCAGTGAATTACTTTTTCCTCCATAATTAAATCAAAATAAATCAACTTCAAAACTGTCGTCCAAAACCAGCAATTATAAAATGTAAGCAAATTTAATTAAAAAAATAGATACGGAGAAAATATTAAGTTCAAGCGGAAAACATTCATTTATAAACTTGGAGCAAGACAGCAAACCACACCTACATAGAGTAGCGTATATAACACGTATCTGATCACACATAAACTCTATACGAAATGAAAGTTTACGTAATAAACATATGGCTATGTCAACGTAATAGCGTCGCGCCAGTCTGACACGTCGGTCTGTATTCATTATGTATTATGCACACGGATACATATCCTGCGCCTGACCCCCCTCCGTCCATGATAGTGGGGAGTAAGGAATTCCCCGTTCTCAGCGGAGATCCTCATTTGCATATGACAGATAACGGGTGTTACATCATTGTCGCTGTTCGCCCTAATCGATATAGCGCTCTTCAATGTATGACGTTCACTTATCGTACCATCGGCAAATCTTAGTAAAACTTACAAGAATGCTGTTCAGTAGGCAGTTGTTCAAGATAACGCACTCATTTTTATCTACAATAAATTGTTTCATTTAATATAGAGTTATACAGAATGTAGAAAATGTTCGTCTTCCTTTTTAAATATACATTCATCCTGATTTACGACATTATTTTACTACTGGCAGAATATAAAACGTTATGGTTTATTATTAAGTACCAAAGAAGTTCTAAACGTTCCCTAATAACACTAGAAAAAATAAAATTTAAAAAAGAAGTACGTGACTGATGACGAGTTTCTGACTTGGAGTGAGCCCGATATAATTGAAACACTGCAGTCGCCTCCACTTCACGCTGTATAAGGACGCTTTGATTAAAATATAGTGTAACTGTTTTCATTACATACCTGGTAAATCTTACTATAGTGATACCACCAGTTGTCAGACCATGCTATACTACTATGTTTGGTATTTGACACTGTGATAAAGACAGAGCTCATTTTTAGCCGGAACTCCTCGGTTGGTATCCTTATTTCCCATTATTGACCCATTAAAACATGAATGAATTTCAAAAATGTTAAACAGTTTACTGCAGGGATACGTGAAATCATTATTTTCTCTTCGACATAGTTTTGGTTGTCATTGTGGTTTGGACTTTTTGGATGACCGGTTCCCAGGAACGATGTCCTTGGTATTTTCATGCGTTTGGATGCGCTTGTTATTTTACAATATTTGTTTGTATAAAGAATTTGCTCGCCGTATTGGACCGTGTGGGCGACAGTGCCTATAAGAAAGAGATATACAGATCAACAATACCTTACAAAACGATGTCATCAAGACCATTGCTTTGATTCGCTGAGACATCCATTGTAGTTGCGATATTTTTCGGGTTCTAATGTCCTCACCATAAAATGGGTTTGTCTTCGACGAAGTGGTCAAGGTGATTAATTTTTACCTCCACACATCTCCTTATTTTCCTGACGATAAATTAACGCCAGCTTCTGTACATTTTTATTTCAGTACATGTACAATTTGTGTTAGGTATATGAATATTCAAGAATGATATTGTAAGATGTTTTGTTCTGATGCGCTTAGAAAACTGCCCAACATTAATTAGGTTGTTCTTATTTTGTCAAATGCTTGCTGAATGTCACTACATTGGCCATCTGTAACGTTATGATAAAGCCAACAGTGAATTCCCGTATGAATGGTGAAATCAACATTGCATGGGATTTACATTTCGTTGGAGTCATAATAAATGTACAGCTATTTACCACATGTAGATGTAACACGAGATTCACATTTCCTAGATATTCAATATCTCCCTTGTCGGTACGTAGACGTTCCCTAACGAGTGCTGGTTACAATTGGTTATCGAGTTTATAAAGCTCGCTTTAGTTAATTTTCAAATTGTATGAAGATACGAGTTTTACCGAATGTATTTTTTTTTAATTTGAAAATTTACCACTGGAATTTAGATAAACTCTTATATCTATTTCTGGTGGATTACTTTTCATGTTACAACGATACGAGTCAATATTTGTTTGCTATCGACATTGCAATGTGACAATGTTTATCCTGAATATCTCGAGCCACTATAGCTACTAGTTGCTATGAGCTGGCTCCCTGAGGTACGCTATATGGTACACTATCAGTTTCCCTGGTGCTGGCCCTTTCACTCAAGATATACCAATTATGGATATTTTTCTGGGTTTTTTTGTACTTGTCTCCTCAGACTAGAACGAAAAAAGGGTATCTCGATTTTATATTAGATCCTTAGAGGGTTAATGCTGATCGTGTCTTTTGCACTATGAATAATCCTTACTGGTCGATTTTCCGGATACATATAGATGCTTAAAGTAATTCCGTACATGATCATAAGATACCTATCTAGTTCCCATCAATCCAATTGTACTTTCTGAAGGATTGTTGATGCAAATTCTAAAAGAGAAAATGGAAATATCTTTAATCCTACAAACATGTTCGTGTTTCGTTCCTATCCTCGAATGATACTTTAAATATCTTTATGTTCAAATTGAGTATTAAATTTCATTTCGTTTTAAAAAATTAAATCCGGATTAAGTTTTGGCACTGAGTTGTCGTCATGTTAATGAAAATGTAAACAACTCTGCCATAACCTGTTTTATCCGGATTAAGTCCGGCTTCTGTCGGAACCCGGATCAACTAAGTCCCAGTTACATATGTCGTGGAGTCTTTGTTTCACTGTGTCGTACTCCTTATCCAATGTACCGTAGTTGGTTTGTCAGAGACGCTTATAAAATGTGGTAAACTTCTTTTTGATTAGACATGAAATTGACAGATGTATAGAGAAAAAAATCCTTAGGTTCTCGATATACAATAGATAGCATTTTTGAAAATGAAAATAATTCCAGTTATTTGTTATTCATATAACGAAGGGGGGAAAAGTTTGAGATCATTTGGCATGAAACCATACGCCCCCACCTGTAGGTAATACATATATACGTAAAAAGTATGTACGCTGGCGATAATAGCCCCGCTCTCGACTTTCTTACTTCTACATCTGTTATGTCAACAAACACTGCCCGGGTTTTGACATGGCGTTTGTGCTTCATTCCATATTGATATAGGTACACAAGCCGTGGCCTTTATCATAGCCTGTAGGTGTAATCGCCTCGCCCCTCCCGACACTGCGACCGGGGATCGTGTGTCGACAGGGACAACACTTATGCACTATCCCTTTTCTTCCCTTGGTAGAACACGGGTCGAGATTGCCTTATTTGTGCAACTCGACCTTGGCAGCGCGTGCACACCTGTCTACTCGAATGCACCAGAATACAAGAACCGCCATCAATCTCTGAACATTACTATACATATACAATACTCATTATGTGTATATTAAATTCACCAAAACTTTCCTGATCATGGCCCCTTCTAATGCAATTTTCTAAAGTGAAACTGTTTTTACGCTATAGCCAATATGTTATCGCTGAGTATGGAATTTGTGTAGTCCAATTATAGCTCTGAGGTATCATGTTCCTGTACATCAGCCTTTACGATAACGTCACTTCCGGAATATTAACATTTTTACGGGTAAAATAGAAACACTTCATAAGTGGTATTATCGAACCATTTAATGCAAATCAAACAAATTAAAACAGTTTCCCACGTGATAGAGTATCGATAACACAGTCAGACATCTTCGTCGACATTTTCATAATTATTCATCGATGCAGATGCTGAAACCCTATCCGTTGGACGTATGTTACCCAACCTGACTCCCCTCTGGCAAGAGTCGACTTACCCTATATATACCAGGAGTACGTAGATGAGACCTCACGGCATACTAGCATTCCGGCTCACTAGAGGACTTACATTTGCACAGGCGGCAGTACATTCACCACACTTTACAAGATGGTAAGTCTTTCCTGCTAACAACAGAGGATCCTTCTGGATGACTTTATGTACACTGATTTTATTCTTGTAGATTTCTTTGTCGATACGTATTATCCATTTTGTATTACAAACTGAATACTGCATTATTAGAACAGATTTAACCTTTTCTTATTAACTTGTTTTATATATTAGGCATTTATGCATCGTTTTCTGTAGTGCAATAAAGTATTTCGTTTAACCAACTGTAGCTCGTAAAGTATACAAGTTGCAAGTTACTTTAGATTAGCTATAAAAAGCTTTGCTGTTTTTAGAGACGCAGAACTTAATTGTCTTGAATATTATGATATTATTCAATAGGCATGACAGAGTATCGTATTTGAAAGTACATATTTAGTATACAGAGGCTTGCTTACATCAATATACATAAACTTGTACTAGTGATTTAACTGCGTTGTAATGTACATTATAATGACATATTTGAATTGTCTTATTCCAGCCGAAGCTTTCACAAGACGAAATCGACGGTAACCTTTGACCTTTGTAGATGTGCTCCCTCATTTTTCCTTCAAAAGTACTAACGACATTCTACTCCATCCTTTTAAATCCTTCTATATCCCGATCTGTAACTTTCCTTTCTATTGAAACATTCAAAAAACCTATTAAAACCCCAGATGCTCCCTATTCCCACTCTCTGGTAACTTAATATCACCGGTACCCTCCTATTATAAAACTAGAGACTAGTTTTTGTCGGAATAAGTATTTTTTTAAATACTCAATTTCCCTCAAAAGAAAACTGTGTGTGACAGTACAATCATATTTAGATTCCAGTAAGTTTGATTTGTCCATACCTGGATTTACCTGCTAGGAATCTTGACATGATAGAAAGTGTGCCCTATCTTACTAGTTTTTCCCTTGCAACTATCCCGACATCTAAAAGACTTTCCTACACCTGATTGCATGTTTTATCTGGATAAGTGTCGAGGATAAGGAAACAAAAATCTGACAAATATCGTAACACTCCTTACACTATCTCCTCACTAGTCGCTCGTCTGGGGACCCTTAATCATAACCCCAGTACTGACTGACGATTTGTGATGATTTCATTTATTAATATCCTTTCAGCATCTCCCTACTTACATGTGTGTGAAATGGAATCGCACGTGAGTGTTACTTATACCTATTATGGAATTTTAACGTGAGCTTTTAACACTTATTTCAATATTGTGATGGATTATATTTTTGGATATCAATGAACTTTCCTCTAGGATATTAATGATTTAGATACCTTCCGAATGTTAAATATATTGGATTATATTGTGACGTACTACACATGTGGATTGGATTTAACTTGCACGCGCCCTGAAACATGTGATAATGATATACATATTACAATTGGACCGATACAAAGCTATGTGCAAATATATGTTGATCTATGTGGAATACGAACAGACGAGCAAACACCTGCATTTTCTGTCATACACGTGTGCTATTACGGAAATACTGCACCGAGAGGTTGGCAACGGTGCAAGCCGAGATTCGGTATCGCCAAGGTGGAACTAAGAACACCGCTCCCCTAGCAACCGGCGCGTGCCAAAACGGAAATATGATCCGGCCTGGCAGGAGCTCGGATAGGTGAAGATGGGGGAAAGCTAAAGTCGTAGGGGATTAACTTCAGTGTATTAAGTGCCAATTATACCACCCATCAATAGTCCTTTAGATCATCGATAATAGTTGTAATGTGGAATATTAACGTGTATACTGACTGTTATAATGTGTGGCGATTTATCATTGTTTTTCGTGATGACATCTTAAAAATAGGGTTTTATGCTACATGATAAAGATAATTTATTTGCTCAGATTCAGTTATTTTTATTGTATTAACTTCAAAATGTAAATCCCGAAATCACACACGTATCTCATACCTAAACGGTGAACGTACCACTGTATATATTGAAGATTTTATATTATCTAAAATGGTAAATGATATGCCGGTCGTACCATGATCACACGTGTCGCGCGATTAACTCGGAATACGTCTGTTCTTACCTTAAATTTGAATTGAACTTTGAAATCCTCAATTCATCGTGTAATTCATTAACAGATATTAACGAGACATTACTGAACTAATGACCACTACGTAACCTCTTTTAATTTCCCTCGTTCATTGCACGATGCGCAATGTTCTACAGTTATCTCTGTACCGCCCTGCTGGCCGTTTGTTAGAAAGCAAGTGTTTTTGTTGGTGACATAAGATAGCTTTTTCAATGAAACTACACAAGGATAATTTGGCACAGATTTAAAAGGAAACATTTGAATGTTTAACTTGCTGCCAGTTGATTGAAGACACTAAGCCAGATGTAAATCTGTTTGTGTTCGTTAATATGTTAAATGATAGGATGGATTTAAGTGTAGATATATAGGTCTGTTTCATGTCTATTTCAATTTTATATATATACGCTTTATTGTTAAACTTAAAATACCGAATATTTAATATGACATTTTACTTAGATGGTAGTTGATTGTAAGCCATTTTTGCGCCTCCACATACCTCCATCACTCTCACCCCTCTCGTTTTGGTTCACTGCCAATAACCTTTACATTGTGTAAAGTAGATATCGGTGTACATATGTAACCGTTGCCAAGGTAACCAGACCTTGTGCCTCTTTCTCTTTCATTTTCTGCAATATCTAAATGTATCCCCTTCACATAATTTTTATTCGGTTATTAATTATAAAATCAAATAGGATATGCGTGATAGAAATCGGACTTCACGGTCATTCCGTTATTATGCCTTGCTTAGTTTTCCTTTTCTTTGACCTTAATACAGCCACATGATTTGTGCAAATTACGCCACTCAATCAATGTATTAACGTAAATTTGAACTGGCGATATCATTCTTCCTTCAAACAAGAATAGGTTTGAATCTCACTTACTTGTATATAATTAGATAAATTTGATTAATATAAAGCATACCAGATCTAAATTGCATACTTATCGAAATATTAAAACCGATAGAAGAACTTTTAGACAGGTTAGATATAAATTACTGAAAATTTACGAATTTACACTGTTTTTATATCATATATCATATTTCTGTTTGCAACTTATCCAATATACAATGTATTAATGCGTGTATAATGTTGTAAGCCGTTAAGTCAAATTTTGAAATTAAGTTAATATAACCTGACCGAGATAGAAGTTTTAGAGGTAAAGACACGTTCAGGGTTGAGATTTGTAGTGTACCAAGGCTATGATATGGTGTCGGAGGATACGGCTAGCTGATAGACAAGACAGTATACGGCTTTGTTCGCGCGTACATGATGAGTCTTACACGTGCTAATAATTACCGACAGTGTTTGTATGTATGTACCTACAAGATGTACGTATACACACGCGCGCTGTCCTACCACATGGTAGCGTGCGTCCTATATCCTTAAATGGCGCGGCGCGGAGCAGCCCACTTCACATACAAACACACATACGCGCGGTGTGATATTAATCCGCCTTGGAAAAATAGTGCACGTTATGAATGACAGATGGCTTAGTGTATTATTGCGGATGCCTGGTATATGGCGTTAATAATTACCGTCTGTTTTAGATACATACCACACCACCCCGAACCCTAGTAGGAGACTTCCCAGAGCTTTGTTAGCCATTACGTACACACCATAGTATATACACACATGTTGCGTTGCCATGACAAAATGATATGCGCCACATAAACTTTTTGCAAAAACATTTGAACTCGATGTTCCTTGTATAATAATCGGCACGTGGCTAGACTAGCAAGGTTAAACACGTATGATAAAGTTACATAATTGTGTAACATGTATACAGGCTCTGCCAACATGTAGGATTGATTTACCATTTAACGTCTTTGACATGCATACACATTCACCAGGGTACGCATGTTTGGACAGGATGTTACAATTTGTAACATAATTTAAAAAATATTTGAAAATCATCCGATTCGAATTTTATGAAATTCGTATTTTTAGCGCGTTATTTTATACATTTTTTTTACAAATATTTTATATATATACAGTCTATCAAAATATTTTAAACTGTAAGTATCTACGTACAAAAATGTTCACTTCGAATTTTAATAAAAGTTATTTTTAGGGATCTGGCTGTTACCTTTGGATATTTTCGTGGAATTATTTATCTATTAAGGAAGCGTTAATCTGACTAGTATTAGCCACCAGTGTTAATAAATATCGACCCCATCAATCCACGTCCTTAAAGTTCTTTGTAGAGTTTCAAGCTCTGGAGTCACCGAAACACTTGTAACTTGCTTTGGATTTGTTAACTTTCAACATGCATCTACAATACTTGCGTACTCGTAATTCCTATTCTACATTCCATTTCCTGTTTAAAGTAAATAAGCGATTTCTTAGCAAAGGACAAAATATTTGATATGATATCTAAGGAAATGCACTCCTTAACCCAACTTTAAACTTTGAAGATAATCGAGAACATTCCTGATGTTAATAACATTACTGAACCTATGACCTATATATATATATTAATTATTTAAAATTCAGGTCAGAGCAAACGTTATCATTGAATTATTTTATTAATCAAACATTTTTATGGTTTATAATCATCAGGCACGACCAATATCGAACGTCATAATTGATGATTTTTCCTTATTTTGCAAATGAGATCTCGAATATAGAATAAAAATAAAGTTAAAGAAACGCATTATACGTTCATGTAATATATATGCAAAATGAAAGTAACATCGTGTGTCATGTGTGCTTTGCGTAATTTTCCAGACTTGAAGGACGTTTTCGAACTTTTTGACTTCTGGGATGGTCGTGATGGAGCTGTCGATGCCTTCAAGCTCGGCGATGTGTGCAGGTGTTTGGGAATCAACCCCAGGAACGATGACGTATTCGCCGTAGGAGGCACACACAAAATGGGTACGTCCTTTTTATGTACAGACATCAATGTCAAAAAGTGTAATAAACATATAAATTGTCACTTTGATATCTAAGGTAACTGAAGGTCAGTCTCCAAACTTACGCATCTTTGGGTTAAAGACAACTTTTGAACATAGACTTTTCAGATGACCATAGGCCATCCATACTAGTTACCAAAGGGTTATGTTCTTAAGTTGAAATGGTCATCAGCACAGAAAATAACAATATCAGACAGAAACCACCCGTGTTAATGTCACTATATAATACGTTACAATGGCATTTATTACAAATATCGAAGGACTACTTCGTTAAATGATCCAACAAAACAAAACAACCCAATCACTTTTGCATTAAACAAAATCACAACGCCCTGAGTATTTTCACTTAAATGCAGGCGAACATTTTATCCCCTTACACACAGAGAGATATGCCCTTAATTGACCTTAGCTGTGAATTGGGCGCTAAAAACATTAAACCAAACCAAGCATGCCTTTTTTATAAAACAAAATATTATTTCAATGATTTCTTTTTTACTTGAATGCAGGCGAGAAGTCCCTTCCCTTCGAAGAATTCCTCCCCGCCTACGAGGGTCTCATGGATTGTGAACAGGGAACATTTGCCGACTACATGGAGGCTTTCAAGACCTTCGACAGGGAAGGACAGGGATTCATCTCCGGGGCCGAGCTTAGGCACGTCCTCACCGCGTTAGGTAAGAACTTTTTTTTTTAATATGGTTTGTATTGTTGAGTTGGAGAAGGTGCAAACTGCCTATAGATGTACAGTAATCTCGAGGTAGACTGCCTCATGTTTAATATGCTGTAAGACATGTCTTATCAACCTTACTTCAAGTTTTATGAGTTTAGAAACGGCTATCGGTGTCTTCAGATTCATAATCATTATCTACTAGAAACCGTCTCTCTAAATAACTTTCAAAACTATATGAATGCTTGTTCAGGATAAACAAAAACATGTATGACCGACGACAAAAATATTAATATGAATAAATTATAAGTAATGTCAAATTTATTAAATTTATAAGTAAGAATGCCGAGATTCTGTACTTCACGAAAATCCACCATTTGCACAATTTCTGATATTATTAAGACAATTTTTGGCCAAGCATGAGGGTTTATTTTCTCAAACAGTTTCTTATGACCTGTTTGCTATAATTTGCCTCAATGCCCCCCTTACCACTAAATCTGCTTCTCTTTATTCCCTAATCACAAAATCACGTGTTCTATTTCCCCACGCACCACTAACACGTGCGATATTTAGATGTTTTCTGTTCTCTACTGTTGTCAGTGTCTCCTTTGAAAACATACAACAATTCCATTTACCTATGTACTTTTTTTCTTTCCTGTTGAAATTCTCTCTAAAAACCGCATTACACGTGCGATATCTTTTCTGTGTTTCTACTTTTCTCCTAGTCACCAAATGTGTTCGGTTTTGTGTTTGTGTCCAGATTTTGACATTTCAGCGTGGTGGGACTATCATAATCAGTACTGAATGTCACTTTCAAATGTAGTCCTGCTGTCACGTGACAATTCATGGTTGCCATGCACTTCATAAACCAAAACATTAAAAGGGTAACTAACTAACATTGAATCGCAGACGTTGATGCCGGACATCGTCAAGGACTTATTCTTACTAGATCCCATTGTCTTGGTGTTGGTAGATGAAGATAAGCATTATTTGAAAATGACAATTTTGTCGTGATGTTGACTTAAATCTAGATAGTATAAGTGCCTTAACAATGCCAACCATCTTTTCTTTTTAAAGGCGAGAGATTGACAGACGAAGAAATTGACGAAATCATCAGTTTGACAGATTTGCAGGAAGATCTTGAAGGAAACGTGAAATACGAAGGTATGTAACCAGATACCTTTGTCATAATTTGTGGCTCTGTAGTGGTGGCGCATCATACAGCCACTTAATATCAATATAGATTTTTTGTATATAAAAAATGTCGATAAATCAAACTTCTAACTATTCACGATATTTGAATATTATCATCGATTAAATATATATTGATACCAATGAATTACTGTCTTCATATTAAAAGAACCAACTTTTCCATAAAATTGATCGTAATTGATTGCAAACAGTGGTAGCTTGGACATTGTATTTCTTTTGTCTTGTTTGATACAGGATCTTTAAAACTGAATAAATATTGTGACCAATGGTTTGTCTTTGTCAAACAAAGGTTCATTTTGCTTAACAATGTTTTTTTTCCTACTTCAGACTTCGTAAAGAAAGTGATGGCCGGTCCATACCCAGACAAATAGACGATCGCCGCATTCGAAAATAAAATGTGAAGCCGTTTCCAAGAGTAAAATTGACATTTTTTGTAAAAAGAAATTTCGTTTCATCGTTCTGTCAAAAGTTCAAGGGTAGGTCTTACAAGATGCTGCCAGCTTCCGAGTCATCCATATGCTTAGATACAACGAACAACAAAAAGAATAGAAACAAAAATGCCGTCAGCTTTCAGTGCCAGAAATAAGATCTTATTATAACAACAACAACAACAACAACAGATTGTACACAGCATCCCCGTATTTTGTAAGACCTTCCTTTCACTTAATATCAATTTTGCCGTGTTAATAATGTTACAAATTTTAATGTTATTAATTTATATCGCATTTATATATATATATATATTTCAACCTTTAACCGGTACCGGTTAGATATGACATCACTTCCGGGTCACGTGACCCGATTTTGTACAGTATGTTAAGGTTGTATATTTGTAAAGAATGAATGAGGTTGAGGACAATGTGAACAGGATATTCCCTTTTGCATCCTCGAAGCGTGAACTAGTGCAATATTTATTATTTTCCCAAATAAAAATGTTTCTTCCTAAAACCGTTTTCTGTTCATACCTCTTACGTATTTTGTACATTGAGATATGTATAATTTACTCACTTAGTGTCCTCAACTTAAGCTGAAGAAATGTTAATCTTCACCTTCGTTATTAGAAATATGTATTTCTGTATATAGATTTATTACGAAGTCCACACTTCTTAACTCAAGCTTTCCATTCTACATAGCCAACTCTTCAATCTACAGAAAATGTCGGTGAAACTATTAAGGAAATGTGACTTATCCATCAGGAAGGAGCGGATAACAACAGCTAATAAAGTAACTTCCTGTCCTAAAATGTATATTTCTTCTGTCTTATTTCTCTACCATCTTGCTGGTTTCATTGACAACAGACAAATATTAAGATAGCCTGATGAGCGCATGCTGTTTTTCCCGAGGTTTACTTCTCCTTCAAATGGAGATTCACACATCACTGAGTTGAGATATTTCCATAAAAAGATATAGCTGCTGTCAAATATAAATAATATTATAGAGATATTCATATTATCTGACCGAGTTCTGCAATTCGTACATGTACTTTCATTTGCACTTATTACAATTTAAATATGGATTGTATTAAAATACACTTCATACCAAAGGCAAATCTAAACCAGATATCTATGCCGCAAAAGTATCAAGTTTCATTTCAATTGGAATTTATTTCTTTGACCGAAAACATAGAATCACTTAGGACATATTTCTTATTGCGATTTGGTTTTATTAATTACTTTTCCCCATCTATTTACTTACAGTGTAGTCACAATAGTCGTGAATTCATTGTTAAATTGTGTCTGAACAAATATTAACAAAATATCTTATCTCGTATTTAGTGGCAAATTAACGCAAACACATCTGTAAACTTCTAAGTGATTTACATTATGAATTAAATGAAAATATCAGTGCCTTTTATAAATTTACATTCTAGAAGGATAACAAAACATTATAGAAATGTATTCCGGGCCTAAAACAGCGTTACTTCGTACTTTATAAAACTGTAATCCAGACTTAATACAGCTTTACTTCGTACTTTAAACAACTGTACTCCGGACTTAATACAGCGTTACTTCGTACTTTAAACAACTGTACTCCAGACTTAATACAGCGTTACTTCGTACTTTATACAACTGTACTCCAGACTTAACACAGTGTTACTTCGTACTTTATCGAAAGGTTCTCCAGACGTAATACAGCTTTACTTCGTACATTATACAACTGTACTCAAGACTTAACACAATGTTACTTCGTACTTTATACAACTGTACTCCAGACTTAATACAGTTTTACTCTGTACTTTATACAACTGTATTCCAGACTTAATACAGTTGTACTCTGTACTTTATACAACTGTACTCCAGACTTAATACAGCGTTACTTTGTACTTTATACAACTGTAATCCAGACTTAACACAGTGTTACTTCGTACTTTATCGAAAGGTTCTCCAGACGTAATACAGCTTTACTTCGTACATTATACAACTGTACTCAAGACTTAATACAGCGTTTCTTCGTACTTTATACAACTGTACTCCAGACTTAATACAGCGGTTCTTCGTACTTTATACAACTGTACTCCAGACTTAATACAGTTTTACTCTGTACTTTATACAACTGTACTCCAGACTTAATACAGCGTTTTTTCGTACTTTATACAACTGTACTACAGACTTGATACAACGTTACTTTGTACTTTATACAACTGTACTCCAGACTTAATACAGCGGTTCTTCGTACTTTATACAACTGTACTCCAGACTTAATACAGCGTTACTTTGTACTTTATACAACTGTAATCCAGACTTAACACAGTGTTACTTCGTACTTTATCGAAAGGTTCTCCAGACGTAATACAGCTTTACTTCGTACATTATACAACTGTACTCAAGACTTAATACAGCGTTTCTTCGTACTTTATACAACTGTACTACAGACTTGATACAACGTTACTTTGTACTTTATACAACTGTACTCCAGACTTAACACAGTGTTACTTCGTACTTTATCGAAAGGTTCTCCAGACGTAATACAGCTTTACTTCGTACATTATACAACTGTACTCAAGACTTAACACAATGTTACTTCGTACTTTATACAACGGTACTCCAGACTTAATACAACGTTACTTCGTACTTTATACAACTGTACTCCAGACTTGATACAACGTTACTTCGTACTTTATACAACTGAACTCCAGACTTAATACAGCTTTACTTCGTACTTGACTTAATGCAACTGTATTTCAAACTGAATGCGACTGATTTCCAGTCTTATCCCAGGCAGGACTTCGCTTTGAACAATACACATATTCGCAGCTGATGTTTCTTCCATACATATCACATGTACTGATTTAAACAAACTCTATAATCAAAAATAAGTCTCAAAGAAGAAAGCACTTTGCAACAATGGTTCAACTTCGATGGTTCTTGTCTTAATATATTATACACGCACGTTCCAAATAAAAATGCACCATCTTAATAATTTGAGTAAACGTCTGGATGTTTAGAGTGTTATCTATACAGTGTTTACAAACCTCTATAGAGGGCGAAGTTGTTTACCGTCCAGTGACATTTGGAAAAACAAGATAAAGACATTTCGTTTTCTGTGATATCTTTGATAAATGTGTATAATTACAAAATATATATATGTGTAGACATGCGACAACATGCACACACGTAGTTTATCATCTTTACATTTCAACTAAGACAGAACACAAATCAACATATTCTGTCAACCTGAATTGAAGCCTATGTAAAGCATACGAGCATAAACCAAATCAATGCAGGTGTGAACAATGTAACCGAATGAACTATCATGCTATCTGAGGTTAGGAATACTACCAACGATACAAAATACCACGGAAATCAAGTGGTTAAAAAAGGTAAACATTGGTAGGGACAGACCAGAGTGCTCAGGATATTATCCTTAAAATTATGGGTGTTTTACAAGAAAAACAACAGTATCAACTGATGCATACATGTGTAACTCTGTTAAGCTCATTTCAGATCCATACACAAGGAAAGCAATGCAAACTAGATACGTGTCCATGTAAGAAATGTCATTTGAAATGGTTATTGTTAAATTTATTGGCAAACATATCAATGCTTCATACTTGCATTTAAAACATATCTTATCAATATATAAAACAGCGCATTACTAAATAATTCAAAATTATGAAAATGATACTTAAAGTGTATTCTTTTCCTTTAAAAACGGTAAAAATATCATATCAATATATAAAACAGCGCATTACTAAATAATTCAGAATTATGAAAATGATACTTAAAGTGTATTCTTTTCCTTTCAAAACGGTAATTGCATCTAATTGTTTGATATATGGCGAAACTGTGCTTAAATCACATGGAACGTACCGAAATACATACCACTGTGATCACCCAGACAGACATTGTATATACCGAAATACATACCCCTGGGATCACTCAGACAGACATTGTATATACCGAAATGCATATCACTGTGATCACCCAGACAGACATTGTATATACCGAAATACATATCACTTTGATCACTCAGACAGACATTGTATATACCGAAATATATACCACTGTGATCACCCAGACAGACATCGTATATACCGAAATACATTCCACTGTGATCACCCAGAAAGACATTGGGCAATACAGACGACATACATACCACTGTGATCACCCAGACAGACATTGAGCAATACAGACGACATACATACCACTGTGATCACCCAGACAGACATTGGGCAATACATACCACTGTGATCACCCAGACAGACATTGAGCAATACAGACGACATACATACCACTGTGATCACTCAGACAGACATTGTTTATACCGAAATACATACCACTGTGATCACGCAGACAGACATTGTATATACCGAAATACATATCACTTTGATCACTCAGACAGACATTGTATATACCGAAATATATACCACTGTGATCACCCAGACAGACATCGTATATACCGAAATACATACCACTGTGATCACGCAGACAGACATTGTATATACCGAAATACATATCACTTTGATCACTCAGACAGCCATTGTATATACCGAAATGCATATCACTGTGATCACCCAGACAGACATTGTATATACCGAAATACATATCACTTTGATCACTCAGACAGACATTGTATATACCGAAATATATACCACTGTGATCACTCAGACAGACATTGTTTATACCGAAATACATACCACTGTGATCACCCAGACAGACATTGTATGTACCGAAATACATACCTCTGTGATCACTCAGACAGACATTGTATATACCGAAATACATACCACTGTGATCACTCATACATACATTGTATATACCGAAATACATACCACTGTGATCACTCAGACAGACATTGTATATACCGAAATACATACCACTGTGATCACTCAGACATACATTGTATGTACCGAAATACATACCACTGTGATCACTCGGACAGACATTGTACATACCGAAATACATACCACTGTGATCACTCAGACAGACATTGTATATACCGAAATATATACCACTGTGATCACCCAGACAGACATTGGGCAATACATACCACTGTGATCACTCAGACAGACATTGGGCAATACAGACGACATACATGTTAATGAGTACCATACGTGTAGTCTGTTTCAGTGACCACGAGAATGTAACACTGTAAATGTCGGTTAAGTACATAGCTTATATAGACTAAACCATCATAATGCACCAATGTATCACTGTTTATAATCGACAATTTCATGCTCAAAATAACAATTATGTCATGTTTCGATTACAGTTTTCACTTATTGTCATACTAATTTATTTAATAATTACGTGTTTTAATGCCTGAAACACAGTTCCAGCAGGGAAGATAATGAAATAACTAGTAATTATTATCCGTGGTTATAGGGCCTTTGCAACCAGCCAATATCTTTCTCAACTCCCTAGGGAGCACACAGTCGGTGCTGCCATTTCGGCGCTCACAGCTAGCATTCTACAATTCTAGCACTGCACAACCACGTACTCATTTACAGCTGAGTAGACTGGAACAAGCGGAGTAAAGAATCTAGCTCAAAGATACAACACAGTGCCGTAACGTGACTTGAACCCGCAAACCCTTCAGTCACGAGCCCGACGTCCTACAACTAGACTTCCGTGCCTCCTGATGAAGGGCTAAGCCCAAAGCTTGGACATAGTGACTGTTGCTATTTATGTTATGTAAGTTTATAATAAGTTTAACACGGATTATTTATATCATAACACATTTATATCGTCCAGTGACGAGTATTACATACGTTTATTACATACTTATAAATAAATACGGGGTTTT